GCAGCAAACGCAGCAGCAGCACTTGCCGCTGTAAAGCAGCACAAATTGCTGCTGCTGCTGCTACTGCTGCTGCTGCTGCTGCTGCTGCTCGTGCGCAGGAAGCGCTTTGTCAAGGTTCAGCAAGCTGCAGCAACACCAGACGCTGCTCCTGCTGCTGCTGCTCACAAAGGATCGCAAAGGAGCAGCAGCAGCAGCAAGAGTAGCAGCAGAGGGACTGGCTGCAGCAGTTCGTGAGGCTCCTCATTTTCAGGCCTCACGCTGCTGCTGCAGCTGCTGAAGTAAATGCTGCAGCAGCAGCAGCACAGCAGCAGCTGTTACAACTAGAGTTTCTGGAGCAGCAGCAGCAGCATGCTGCTGCTGCTGCAGGACTTCACAAGAATAGTATTCTCAGGCGCTGCAGCAGCAGCAGCGGCAGCAGCAGCGGCAGCAGCACCTGCAGCAGCAGCTACTGCTGCAGCATAAACAACAGCGCCTGACTAGGGATTATTTCGTTTGGGAACATTTATTTCCAATGGGAACTGCTGCTGCTGCTGTGGCAGCAGGCTCAGCAGCAGCAGCAGCAGCAGCAGCGGGACGAGCAACAGTAGCTCGAGCAACAACGGGAGCTGCATCAGCAGCAGCTGCTGCAGCAGCTGTGATTTTAATTGCATCAAAAGCAAACAGCAAAAGTTTCTGTAGCCAGCGGCGGTGCATTTGCTACTGCAGCTGTTGCAGTTGCAGCATCAAATGCTGCAGCTGCTGTTGCAGTTGCTGCTGCAGCTGCTGTTGCAGTTGCTACTGCAGCTGCTGTTGCAGCTGCTGCTGCAGCTGCTGCTGCAGCTGCAGTTGCTGCTGCTGCTTGCATAGGGTGGCAAGAAAACTTGGCTGTTCTTTTTTTGGGTTCAAAGGGGAGTAACGTTTGTGGAGTAGCCGAGGTGTACGTACACCTCAACTCAGCCGCAGGAAGTTAGCAGCAGCAAATAAAAGTATAAACATAACCATCTCCGAGAAGTAAAAATAAATAAATAAATGAAATGAATAAATGAAATAAATAAATGAAATAAACACTTCTGCCAATTGTTCAGTTCACTTTCCGATATCAACGCCGCCTGCTCGGGTGTACGTACACCTGAAATGGTCAAGACAGGCGGTGTGGGCCCCGGCGCTGCTTTTTTGTTTGAAAAAAATATCAGAAGTAAAACGAAAGAATTAAGTGAATCATTGTATATCTTTTTTCGTCATTTAGATCTATTTATAAAGTAGCAAAAAGAAGAAGACATTTCTGGATGCGCAAGTCGTGCATGGCTAGCCGCTCGAAAATGGGTTTATTATTCAATTATATTTGTGTTTCAATCTTAATATTAATTAAGTTTGAATAAATTCACCCGTAAAGAAATGAATTTAACCTTTAATTGCATTTATTTCAATCAAAAATCAAAATATATGAATTGCATGAAGGCGGCTGCAGTCACACACTACGGCTGCGGTGTCTGTACACCTCAGGGTGTACGGCGCTGTCGGCAACGGCAACTTGCGTTTAAAACGAATTAAACGCATTTATTAATTAAATATTTGACAAATTAATTAATTTATTTTGTAAATAATTCAACTTTTCAATTAATTTAATTCATTTCAGCGGCCGTTTTCAGCAGCTTGCTGCCTACTGCCTCGCCGGCTCTTGGGGTGTACGCGCACTGCAGGCTGTGGGAGTAAAACCGAGAAAACTGCAGTTTGAGTTTAATTTTGATTTTATTTTTTATTTAAATTTAAAATTATTGTTTGCTGCTTCGAAACTCGCCGCAGTAGGCAGCAGCGCATGCACGAGGTGACCCTGGGGCTGCAGCTGCAGCAGCTGCTGCTGAGTCTTTTCTCTTCTTTTGCTTCTCAGCTTTTTGCTGATCTGCTGCCCCACAAAGAATACCATTTGAAGGCTTTTTCTGTTCCTCCGGGATCTCCCTAGAGAAAGCCCCTGCTGCTTTCCCCCGGCAGCAGCAAACGCAAACCCGCCCAGCTAGCCAAAGCTCCACCTAGCTAGCTAGCTAGCTAGCTAGCTAACCGCAGCTAGCCAACCGGCAGCTAGCTGCAGCTAGCCAGTAGGAACGCCTGCTACCCCAGCTACCCGGAGCTAGCCCCAGCTAGCTGCAGCTAGCCGCAGCTAGCCCAGCTAGCCCCAGCGAGCCCTAGCTAGCTACAGCTAGCCGCAGCTAGCTGTAGCTAGCTACAGCTAGCTGCAGCTAGCTAGCCAACTGTAGCTAGCCAGAAGGAGATTCAGCTGTCTCTTTGTTTCAGCTTATCTCCCTCGGGTGTACGTACACCGCAGACACTCTGCTGCTCCCGCCCACGTCAACCAAAAAGAATTAAAATTTATTTTTCTTTATTTCTTTTTTATTTATTTCTTTTTTTAAATTTGCAATTTGACAAAAAGTAAAACCTGCAGGACTTCAAATTGAAAGCCCCACAGCTGCCACTGCATGCAGCAACTCACGGCCGCAGCACGGCTAGCTAGCTAGCTGGCTAGCTAGCTAGCTAGCTAGCCAGCTAGCTAGCCAGACCTTCAACTAGCTAGCTGGCTAGCTGCATAGCAGCTAGCCTGCTCGCTAGCTAGCTAGCGAGTTGGCGTTTGCTGCAGCTAGCTGGATAGCCAGCTAGCCACTGAAGTGCTCAATCAGCTTTTCGCTTGGCTAGCTAATTAGTTAGCTAGCTAGCTAGCTAGCTAGCTAACTAGCTAGCCACAGCACCCTCGAGTGAAGTCAAGCAGAACTGAGGGGGAATAGAGCACTGCGGTGTACGTACACCCGGCGGGCACCCTAAACCCTAAACCCTAAACCCTAAACCCTGAAGTCTGGGCTCTAGAGAAGGAGGCATACAGCAGACTATGGACAGAGGACAGCAGCAGCAGGATGCAGCAGCACCGCTGCAGCAGCAGCAGCCGTTGCTTTTGCCGCAACCACTGCAGCAAGAAGCGCAGCAGCAGCGGCAGCAGCAGCAGCAGCAGCAGCAGCTACCTCAAGTCTCTACCTTCGCCCAAGGGCCCCTCTCTGCTGCGGGAGCGCCTCTAACTGTTGCTTCAACTTCTTTAGAAGCAGATAAATCACCGGCAGGAGCAGCAGCAACAGCAACAACAGCAGCAGCAACAACAACAGCAGCAGCAGCAGCAGCAGCAGCAGCAGCAGCAGCAGCAGCCAAATTTCCAGCACAGGCTTCACCAGCAGCATTGGGAGCAGCGAAATCAGCGACAGCAGCAGCCGCAGCAGCAGCAGCAACAGCAGCAGCAGCAGCAACGGCGGCAGCAGCAACAGCAGCAACCAAGCAGGCGGCAGCAGCAGCAACAGCAGCAGCAGCAAGAATAGGAGCCAAACCAGCAGCAGCAGCAGCAGCAGCAGCAAATGTGCTGCTGCCTGCAGAGGCGCCGCCCCCAACAGTAGAAGAGCGAGTTGAAAAGTTCCTGGATTCTCTCTGTGAGAAAGGAGCACTAACTGTTAATACGTAAGCAGCAGCAGCAGCAGCAGCAGCAGCAGCAGCAGCAATAGCAGCTGCAGCAGCAGCAGCAGGAGATGTGGTTGTGGTAGTTAGGACAGTCCAGTACGCAGCATCTTGAGCAGCAGCAGCAGCAGCAGCAGCAGCAAACGGAATTCTGCTGCTGCTGCCAAACAAGAGCAAAAATCCCCACCACGCATTGCTGCAGCACAGACTTAGCCGCAGCAGCAGCAACAGTGGGAGAAGCTGCAGCAAAATGAGCAGCAGCAGCAGCAACAGCAGCATTAGCGCCACCGCAACAGCACCACCACTGCCATTAGTACACGACACACCGCAAAAGCAGCAGCAGCTGCAGCAGCAGCAGCAGCAGCACGACTGGCAGTGCATGCCAGATTACAACAGTAGCAGCAGCAGCAGCAGCAGCAGCAGCAGCAGCAGCAGCAGCATTTGTCGGTTTGCTTTTAGGTCTTTGCTGTTCAAGCAGCGGTTTTTCAGGCTGCACGAGAGATATTTGCATGCAGCAAAAACAGAAGCATTAGCAGCAGCAAAGCTGCAGCGGCTGCAGCAGCAGCTGCAGCAGCAGCAGCAGGAGCTCGCAGAAGCAGCAGCAAGAGCAGCACTGCATTCCGAGCAAATCATGGCCCTCAAGCAGGAGCTCTCCGAGGTACTCAAGGGTTTAGGGTTTAGGGTTTAGGGTCTAGGATTTAGAGATTAGGGTTTAGGGTTTAGGGTTTAGAGTTTAGGGTTTAGGGTTTAGGGCCGCCATCAGTTTTTCGCGTTTTCCCCCTACCGCTTCAAAATCTGAACAGACCTAATAAATAATTAAAATATTATTTGTTATTTATTTATTTATTTATTTATTTATTTATTTATTTATTTGTTAATTCAGAAAAGAGGAGAATTAGTTCGTGTTGCTTCTCGGCAGCAAATGCTGCAGCAGCAATTTGCTGCAATTCGAAAAGAAGCAAATGAGCTGCAGCAGCAGCTCGAGACCCAGAAGAAGCAGTAATTCTTTTTTTTATTTTAATTAATTATTTATTTATTTATTTATTTATTTGTTTATTTATTTATTTATTTATTTGTTTGTTTGTTCGTTTGTTTATTTGTTTCTTTATTTATTTGTTTGTTCGTTTGTTTGTTTGTTTGTTTGTTTGTTTGTTTGTTTGTTTGTTTGTTTGTTTGCTCATTATTTATTATTTATTTATTTATTTATTTATTATTTATCGTTTGGTATTTATTTCTTTATTTATTTGCTGTTTACCATTCATTTAATTAGTTTTCTGTTTATTTATATATCTATTTATTTGTTAGTTGTTGAATTAGTTTTATTTCTTGATTTGGTATTTATATAATTATTTACTTATTTATTTGTTTATTTATTCATTCCTTTTATTCATTTATTCATTTATTATTTATTCCTTTCGGTAAAAAGAAAATTGAAGGAAACACAAATAGATTAAAAATAAAAAAAAATCTGAAAAAAGTAAAATCAAAGCAAAAATTAAATTAAAATAAAATTAAAATTAAATTAGGATGAAATTAAAGGTAAATTAAAATCAAATTAAAATTAAATTAAAATTAATATGAAATTAAAATTAAATTAAAATTAAATTAAATTAGAATTAAAATTGAATTAAAATTAAATTAAATTAAAATTAAATGAAATTAAAAATAAA